AAGTTGAAGATGTACACGAGAAAGTCCTCCCATGAACATGGAGTGGGAATGACCTCAAAAAGTTTTATCCATAAATAAAATGATTATTTTTGTATCTTTAATCAAATTTGAGGCAATATTATCATTTGACTTAATTTCATTTTTAAAACTGACTATAATTTGTTGAATAAAAAGAAAGATACTATCGAGCATTCTACAAAATAACCCAAAAGTATTTTGATGCTTGGTCACGGTAACATGATCGAAAAGCATTCCAACGCCTAGTCGCGATTAAGACGACAAATAAACAATCTGACGCCTAGTCAAAATAAAGACGACCAAAAAAGCATTTTGATGCTTGGTTGCAGTAAAACGACCGAAAATCATTACGACGCTTGGTCGCAACAAGGACGATGAAAAAGCATTATCACGCTTAGTTATAAACGAAACGATTGAAAAATGCCCTAACCAAAAGGTCACCGAGATACAAACAACATACGAAGTTCCAAAAATGAGTAAAAAATTTCAAATTTTTTTCTAAGGCCTTTTTCTAAATTTCTGAAATTATGTTTGACGAAGATTTTTATTTCGAAGAAAAAACAGACGAATTATATAAATGAAGCAACTATGATTATAAAAGTCACCACAGTCAAACGTATAATCACAATTAATAGTTGAACAAAATATCATGTTTCATGCATATGAATGTGTTACAAAATTTAAGTATTTAGACTTAAAAAAGGAGGAAAAATGATGAAAGACCAAATTTATGAGACTTCAGAATGAGTATTGGACGTTCCTTCATAAGCAATGTTACCGCCCTCAAATTCTCAGCGATGTTCGGAAGTAGAAGAAACGTCGTAGAGTGTCTTAAACTCTTCAAGATCAGAATATTTAGAATCAATTATCCCCCTTTAGCAAACTCATCAACGGCAACTTTTGCGACCCGTCTCGAGGTATTCCACTTGAGTGGTGAGGAGTTTTTCGGCGGTCTTCATGGTGGACATGTGTTCGGTTAATTCAACATTTTCTTCTTGAACCTTGAAATCCATTTGAATGTTATTTGTAGATCCATCTGAACATTTTTCAAATCAACCTTCGCTTTGACCGCCCTCATGGTCGCTAGCTCTGTTCTTTCCAAATAAGTTCTTGCTTTCTCCTCATACTTCGCAAGCCTCTCTCTCATGGATGAGTAGATGAATGCCAAATGATGAGTAGAAGCATAGCGATCGAGCAATTGACACAATTCGACCGAATGGAGCTCATCAAGATGCCTATCTAAATCAGCCGACCAAAGGATGTCCGCGATCATTGAAGCGTACCCTGTGGATGTTGAATTTAGGGGAAACCAACCCCTCTCAATATTAACCAAGCCGATACTCGAATCGAAGTTTATGAAAATTTTGGCCGGTCTTTTTTGCAGTGGAATCCAACAATCCTGCCCTCCTTTCTTACTTCTTTGTTGACATGGGAGGAAAGGATCAGAGGAGACGAGTTTGCCCTTGCTCCTACGCTCAGCTGCATCAGCCGAAATGGCGACTTCACCTATGCTTTCCCTAGAATCTCCACCAACTTCAACCTGCACCTGTGGAGACTGATGGCTCACTTCAGTCCTTTCAAATGGAGGGATTAAATCAGATGGAGATCTCCTGTGTCGAGAGAAGCCTCGACGACCTTTCGGTATATGTAGAGAAAAGGGAAGGAGTCGCATCATCTCCTGAATCACCTATTATCACCGGGGGAGTTTTGTTCGACAATATTAATTCGTCTGTGACTTTATTTTGAATAACAACAGATGTTTTTAAAACCGAGTCAATGAAATCCAAACTAGTATTTGCCCTAAAAACAGGTTAGTTTCTTTTGTTCCCTCTTCTGCTTCTTCGTCCACTTCTTCCTTTTCTTGATGTCTTCTAGGAGAGCTGAGCCACCTTCTCTAGTTGCATTTTCTCCTCGAACTCATTAGAAGAAGTCCACATCTATTTTGTCATCAAGTCATTCTTTCGGATTCAAAACCCGATTTACAGTCAAAGGATCGGTGTATTGAACCACCGACAACTGCAAGCCGAGAATAAAACCTGCTCCATTGCTTTCAGCTGAGGAGAACTTGTTTTACTCTTCTTAAACAGGTCGCCGGTGGCTCTAGTTGAAATGCCCCACTGATCGCAGACACCCCTCAAAAAGCAGAGCTTCCAATCTTTTATCTTGTTTTTAAGGTCTATTAAATAAAACTTCCGAGTAGTCCCAAAAAACCACACACCCATCTGACTCGACTCGAAGGGAGAACATAAGTGAAAACAGTTTGTGGCACCAAAGAACGCCTCTCTTGCCCAGATAGATCACGTATGTCATCACCGCTGCAATTGAATTCGACTTCATTTAAGACTTTATAACTCCATAGAAGTTGAAGATCAAGTGAAGCTCCATACATAGAGGCAATGAAACTAGTCTCGGTAAAAAAATTAAGTCATCACCAAGATAGTCGGTGGCTTGGACATCCGCATCCAATTGCTCCAGGACCACACTTGTGTCGTAAACACAAGTCTCGTCTAATAACCTAAACCTCAAACTCAGTAAGGATAGATCTCTCGCACGGCCTAACTGAACCAAAAAATCTGAGAATAGTATTTGGGAGCCATCAAGCTCTAGAAGAAAAATGACCTAAAGATAGTCAAAGTAGAAAATGTGAAAGTTTCACTTAACATCCATTTAGACCTATTTATAGACCCCTTGGGGAAGCTGAAGCGCCGCATCGGGTTCCTTCAGAATGTCACCTTGACACAAAATTCAAGAAAAATCATGATGGCTAAATTATGGAAAATTTTTATATATAAAAATAAATATTTTACAGTCAGGTCATTCGCCCCCTCGGGCAGGACCTAACTCCGATTTATTAAAATCATGTACAACGCACGCCCATCAAACTTGCATGTCTCTATTTTCTCTTCTTTGGCACGTACATGAGAAATCGAACTGGTGACCCGAAATTTGACCAGTTCACCTCTTCGGCCAGGAGAACTTCCACATCAACAACCTGGGCCCGGAGTGTTTCCCTATCTTCAACTTTGGCCCGAAAAGCCTTCACAACAGCAACTTGGGCTCGGAGAGCCTTTGTTTCTGCATACATGACTGCCAACTCCTCCCGTAAGTCCGAGATAGTAGCTTCACGCTAGATATCAACAGCCTGAGCAAAAGAACCCACAACCTCGTCCATACGACGGTCTAATGACTCTTGAGACTCCCCGTGACCATTAATCTCCCGCCCAGTATCTGCTAGAGGGGGAGGTGTTGGGACCGAAAGAGGCATTGGGCCGAGAGTCTATGATATTAACAGTTTCATTTGCAATAATTGAGTTGTCGTTACAAAGGTAAATGGGTGGATCGAATTAAAAAGAACAACAGAGTTACCAATCATTTGACCCAGTTCTAATGTTGGAAGCTCTCTGCGACAATAGGACGCATACCACCATGAAAACCACTATCGGTTGGTGGCAGAGGAGGAACATCTATTGGTGCAGCTTAGCTTCAAATAGCCTCATCAGCTAAACGACGGAGCAGATCGTCTGCCTAGAAGAAGCAAAAATCAAGGGAGTATAATTTATAATGATATTTATTATTCATTATATTAACAGTTATGTTATTTAATTCTCTTATTCTAATGACGGTTGTCACTTTCAAAAAAATAAAAGAATCAAGAAACTAATTATATACATCAGAATTATCTCTGCATTAATCTCAAAAAAAATATAATGGTAAACACAAACAATACCGATATGTGAGCATTCGCTATTTGATTAATCAGTCTCAGAAGCCGGCATAGTGAAGAGAATGAAAGTCCCAACAAATACCGAACGACCGCGTCAGCACCTGCTTCCCAACAACTACCAGCACAAAAATCAACAGTCTCCCAGAATGAAGCTCTTCAATATAGACACCTTAATCGAAGATAGGCAGCTTGTCAGATTACAGTGATTCACCCTCTACATAATGAAATAATCCTACTCGAGGACAATGTGTCTCTTCGAAAAGGATGACCAAAGACCATTCAGTCGGCAGAATGATACTTGGTTGGCCAAATAAATCCAAGTCGACCGAACGAATTCCAACTAACCAAATTGAGCACTTACGAATGCAAAGCGGTGTTTAAGGTAGTTACAAACATGGAGCAGCACCGATAGCAGTTACAGGGTCAGAATAAATGTTAATCTCCCGCCCAGTATCTGCTAGAGGGGGAGGTAGTTACAAACATGGAGCAGCACCGATAACAGTTATAGGGTCAGAATAAATATTATTCAGTTACAAATACGTAAAATGTAATGACTCATCAATTATGGCAACACCCCTTCTTTTAAGCGAAGAAAATCATGTAAATTGTCAGATCCTACATATGATTTACAAATAAAAGGATCATTTTCAATTAAGAGGACTCCGAAAAGAATTCTGACTAAAAATATAGAGAGTACTTCAGTCTTCCTTCTTTCTTCTTTCATTCGACTAACGTTATGTTCCTTAGGTGTGATTCACAGAACAATTTAGGATTCAACCTTAATATATTATAAAAATCACTAAAAGCATAATTTTTAGTATCACAAATTATTCTCTTATACTTCCTATGGGTCACTTTATATTTTTCCCAGCAATTTATGTTTTATTTATCTTTTAATTGCTCATTCAATTTGTCATTTTATTATAACACGAGCTTGAATTATTTTTTCTCTCTTTCAAAATAAACAAGGTGGCTTGTGAGCCAGCTTGGACTCCAAGAATTAACCTCAAGCTCAAACTCGATTAATTGATCAAGCACAAGATCAACCCGAGGATGGCTCTACCTCAACCCAACCAACATCAAAGTATTATAAATGTAATAATCAAAACATTAGGTGTTGATATGCAAAATACATAACAATTATGCGGTTTGTAAACATCAAGACTCCAGGAATCAAAACGCCGCCACTTCCCCAACCCAAATAGAAAGGATTCAAGCAGGAAAAGCGAGAAGAAATAGAACAGACTAAGCTGCTTACAGTGATGACAACCCCGCCTCCAGATTTCTGCCCTAGGGTTAGTCCTAGAGGCTTATCCACTTCAACCTCGATGTTCTTCGACGCTCCGGTGGTCTTCGCCGTGATCTCGAGCGCTCTCCTCTCGCGCACGGAGCTGTTTCTTCCGCCGATCCTCCTGATCTTAATCGCCGGTAAGAATCGGCTCCTTCGCTTCTCGCCGAGCAAAAGACGGTGGAGGGAGGGCTGCTGCAGGGATTAATAGAGAAGTTTTTGATTTAGATGATAGACGGGGTTTTGATTGAGAGCTCGTTTGGGCTCACCTTGGTTTGGGTTAGAACTGAGGCATTGGAAGAATGGGATTTAGAGATTGAGACGGCCGAGATGGATGCGGCGGCGGCGGACATTGTTGCTGGATGAGCGGCCGTGGAAGCGCTGCGTTGGGACTGGGGAGGATCTATGTGGAGAGAGAGAGCGTGAGGGAGGGAGAAGTTCGCAGTGGATAGCGGGAGATTGTGGACGGGAGAAGATCGGCGGGTGATGGAGAGGATAGGAACTTTTGGACCGTTTGATATGGATGGTTGGCTTGTGGTACACACGGTACCAACTGCGTAATTACATGGGGCATTAGATGCATTTAGAAGCGCGTAAATATTAGTTTTTTATATTTATGCTACATGTAATCATTCATATCACATGAAAAATATTATAATTTTAAATTTTAATATGTGAAATACATTTTTTCATATATAAATGTAATGTATGTAAAAAATTGAAGTTTAAATGTTAGATATATAAATACATACAAATTAAATGATATGTTTGTTGATATGTCATTAATAAATTTTCATCATTTGACATGAATTTTAAGGTGTGACGTAAATTTGGAGATAATTTTTTTTAGCAATAAATATTCAAACTTTGATTAAAAGTCATGCATAACTTTGACTTAAGCAAATTTACAGTCAAACAGACCAGCACGAGGAGATGGATCCAACGGTCCAAAATTGGTACAAGCCAAGTTGAATCATGCAATATCAAACTATTAAATTATTTTTAGGATTTTTTTTGGCATAATTGGAAGGTCAGAGATTATGAATATGACAAACTTATAGTCAAATTGAACGTCTCGACAAGATGAGTCCAACGAGCCTAAGATCGCTCAACTTTGACATCATTAAGGTAGTCAAATATCGATCAAATGACATCTGATTAAGAGGATCTCTCCATGTCATCTGATCAAATGTGGTTTGATTTCTTATCTTTATTTATAACCTGGACTCTATAAATAGAGCCATGTCCCCTCTTAAGGAGGAAACTAGACCCTGAGCCATAAGAAAACCAGAGCCTGGAGAAGAGGGAGTTGAAGCTCAGGATTCTGCTTCGACAATTCGATGAAAGCCTCTTGCTCCTGCAGTCGCCAACCACCATCAGCCACCGCCTATTATAGCCATTGAAGCTCAGGATTCTGCTTCGACAATTCGATGAACGCCTCTTGCTCCTGCAGTCGCCGACCACCATCAGCCACCGCCTGTTATAGCCAGCCAGCTCTGGGCACCGTCACCGCCTCTGACCAACTCTGGCCTCCTCCTCCTAAGTCTGCTGCTACCTCCAGCCAGCTCCAGTCACCACCAATAGCCAACTCCGACCACCACTGCCGCCTTTAGCCAACTTCAACCTTTGCCTCCTCCGATCGCTGTTGTCTACAACCACTTTTGGCCGCCGCCTCCTCTGGCCAGCTCCGACCTCCACCTGCTCCTTCATGTGAAGTCACTTTAGATGTCACAATGTGCACTTCGAAATCCCAGCATACATTACTGAATAATGATGCATTTGGTTGAGCAATACATCATTCAATAAACTGTGTAATGACATCTCCTGAAGATGGTAAACAAAATACTCCAAACAAAGTGTAGCGACACACCCTAAGGACAGTGTAGCAATGTACCTCACATACGAGGCAACGACCCCTCCCAAAGATGGTGTGATAATGCACCCCCACATAAGGTGCAACAACGCCTCCCAAAGATGATGTAATAATGCACCCTGAAGATGATGACTTTCTTTGGACTCCAAATGCTCCCTCCTTGCAATTGCTGACTCCTGCCTATGCGGTCTGCAGATATCATTACAACTCATCACTACGACCTATGTGACCAATTATAATTTATGTGGTCCACAGCTAGTGTAGCTCTCAACTTTGACTGCTGCAACCTACAGATGTCATCACAGCTCAGCACAATGACATAGATGACCCACTATGGCCTGCATGGTCAACAACTCATGCAACACCTGACTCTGGTCCCCTCAACCTACGCACACCATCACACCTCACTGCTACAACCCATGCGGCCAACTACAACCTACGTGGCTTACAGCATGTGTAGCTCTTGACGTTGGCCCCTGTGGTCTACGAACACCATCATAGCTCACCATTAAGGCCTACAAAAGCAACTGAGACCTATGTGGTCCACAATTCTTGCAATTCCCGACTCCAACCTCTATGACCTATGGACATTATCACAACTCATCACAACAACCAACATAATCAGCTACAACCTATGTGGTCCAAAACTCATGCATTTCCCGACTCCGACCCTTGCAGCCTACGGACATTATCACAACTTACCACTACGATCTACGTGATCAACTACGGTCTACTTGGTCAACAGCTTGTGTAGCTCTTGATTTTGACGCTTGCAACCTATAGACATTTCATCGTCCGCCATTATGTTCTATGTGACCAATTATAATTTATTTGGTCCACAGCTTGTGCAACTCCCAACTCTGGCTCATTGATTATGTTATGTTCTATGTGACCAATTATGTGACCAATTATGATTTAAACAGCTTGTGTAGCTCTTGACCAACGTCGTCGCAACTCACCGCTATTGGCTATGCGATTAATATGACCTGCGAGGTCCACTGTTCATGCGGCTTTCTGCTATAGCATATGTGGCCAACCAACACTTCTAAAGCAACCATCTACAACCCACATGGTCAACTTATTATCATGGCTTTCAACCATGACATATACGATAAGTTGGTGCTATAACCAACATTTACAATATCCTCGATAGACTTTCTATTACAGCATATGTGGCTATGTGACCATATCTTAGAGTAGGGGGAAAGATAAAGGAAACTACTCAGACTTCATGAGAAAGATACAAAAAAAACTCAAAACTGTAAGGAAAATAAAATGACTACTGGACTCTAAGTGGCTATATGGAATGTGGAATAGCGTGGCAGAGAGTGGAAAGCGGTTGAAGGGTGCAAAGGGGCGCAAAGGGGGGTCTTTTCTGATCAATTTCGGCTTTAAATATAGCCTAATGTCGGTTTTCCAATAGGTGCATCCAAAAACTCTTAAAAAACCGTCCAAATTCGTCTAATATTCTAGAAATAGGGTATGCACCGACATTGGCGCCATCAGCGCTAGTAGCCATTTAATTAATTCGCACTCTCTGTCAAATGGCGCCGTCGGTGATGAACATTTCTTCTAAAGGTTCATTTTGACTCCAAATTCCATTCTTTTTACTTCATTTTTGCTTCAAGACTTAAAAATCAACAACCTGCAATAAAACATAAAAAAATACATTCCTTTAAAGTGTAATATAAAAAAAGAGTATAAAATATATGTCTAAATATGCATGTATTTTTAGTGTATCAATATACAATTGATTATCACTCCTGCGTGATCGTTTTACCACGCATGATTGCACTAGACAAGCAAGTCACATGCCTTTGTGTATGTTGTGGTATGAGTGTCCATCCAACATGACACTGATTCTGTAATAATTTTCAAGTACACAATGTGTCTACTTGTAGCAGCCACCTCATGCCAAATCACTTGGCATATCACCCTTGCATGCTCGCTCTTAGCTTGAGCAGCAGTGGTGTGTTAAGTCACTTGGTATATCACGAGATAATTAAGGCTAGCTCAATGGATGCAAAGTTTATGATTTCACTAATTAAATTGACAACATCAAACTAGCATTATAATTTATATTCAACTAAAGATATTTATTAAAACAAAATAAAAATTATTTTGAAATCATTTCAATAATTCAAAATTTGTTATACTATGTTTGACATTGTATTACATGAATTATTTAAATAAAATAGTTAAAAATAGACATTGTATTTTCAAATCATTTAGATAATTGGAAAAATACAATTGATCTTACATACATGTCTAATTATATATATATATATATATATATATTGAAATGTACAAACATGAATAATTATAATATTATTATTACCAATTATAAAGTTAAATTATTTTATCTATAAATATAAGTATTTTTATAAGAAAAATGTGATAATGAAATATTTAGAGCCAAATTTCATGATTTCCATTATTCATCAAGAGCGAAAAACTTCTAAAAAAGGATCAACACATCTTCAAGATTGAGAAACATAAACGAGTTTATTTACAAATAACAAGGCGTTTATGCAACGATCCACGAGTCATAAGAACGATTAAAGTTTTACTTTAAATTATCATTTGTTTTAATATTTCATGAAGTATTAGCAAAATTTGAAAGTCATTTTGCTCAAGTAAAGATTTTGAATTTTAAGATTGTGATTGAAATTTATAATGGTTTCTCCACCTACAATCTTTGTGAAAGAGATTTATTGATTTTGATAGTTGGATCTAGCCCGTGGATTTGATTAGGCATGAAAAAGGAAAAAAAATCTTATGTTCGGGCTCCAATAAAATCTTGTCACACGTCGCCATGTGTAAGCCGCGACACCACCGAATAAAAAATAAAAAGGGCTTTATTTTAATGTGTGACACAATTCGAATCAGTTCATTGCTTCGAAATTTTATTGTGGTTTTTTTCTGAAGTTACTGTGTTATTTGAGTAGTATTGCGGTGACTGTGTGTTATTGAAAATTTTTTTATGATATTATTTGAGTGATATTGTGATTTAGGGTCATTGAATACCCGAGCCTCCTGTAACGTTGCACCTTTGTCGATTCGCACGACCAGAGAATTCTCTGAAGTATAAGAGATGGAAACAACATGATGTCCATAATTGAGTCTGACCATCGGACCCCATATATATATTTAATAATTAAAGTCCAATCCGAGATCCGACTTCCCAAATGCCGACATTGCAAGAAAATTTCTCACGCGGCACCCTATCTAGGCTAGTCCAACATGAAATCACTGTATTCCAGCATCAAATCCAGCAAAAGGAATTACATGAAACCCGCAATCTAGATCCACCTGCAGCCACCAAATCCAAACAACGCAGACCCAACATGGAACCCGACAGTTATTAACCATCTAACCCCCAAATTGGGAAAACCCCGATGGATCGAACTGACGAAAAAACAAGAAGGTAAACATTTACTAGCTGCAGCACCGCGTATGAAGACGACCAAAGAAGAGAAAGATCCTTGGGGTGAAATGGAGATTTTAAAAGGCTATGAACTGACCTTCATCTTCTTGGTCTTCATCCTTTTTCACGAGAGGTTGTGCCATGCCTGAATTGGATGACTTGCGGCGGAGACACCCACGATCGACGAAGCGCGGAGAGGGCGAGCACGAGCGACGCCTCTCACCGGAAAAAAATATTACATAGGCCACATGTTTATCCCG